TTGGCGAAGGGTGCAATCGAGCCGGTACCTCCAGCCGAGATGAAGAGCGGATTTTACAGCCCGTACTTCATCGTACCCAAAAAGAGCGGTGGGTCACGGCCAATCCTAGATCTGCGCGTTTTGAATCGCTGCCTTCACAAGCTGTCGTTCAGAATGCTTACGCAGAGGCGCATCCTCCGATGCGTTCGTCCTCAGGATTGGTTTGCAGCCATAGACCTGAAGGACGCGTATTTTTATGTCTCCATTCTTCCACGCCACCGTCAGTCTCTGCGGTTTGCGTTCGAAGGTCGAGCATGGCAGTACAAGGTCCTCCCCTTCGGGCTCTCTCCGTCTTCGTGGGTCTTCACCAAACTCGCGGAGGGTGCCCTAGCGCCCCTGCGGCTCGCGGGCATCCGCGTACTCAATTATCTCGACGACTGGCTGATTTTAGCCCACTCTCGGGAGTAATTGACTGCGCACAGAGACGAGGTGCTCCGGCATCTTCGCCGATTGGGGTTGCAGGTCAACTGGGAAAAGAGCAAACTCTCCCCGGTGCAGAGGATCTCTTTTCTCGGAATGGAGCTGGACTCGGTCACCATGGTAGCGCGCCTCTCCGGAGAGCGCGCTCGCCTGCTGCTGAACTGTCTGAGGGGGCTCGACAGCAATTAGTGATCCCACTGAAACATTTTCAGAGGCTCCTGGGGTATATAGCTTCCACTGCGGCTGTCACGCCGCTCGGATTGCTCCATATGAGACCACTTCAGCACTGGCTTCAAGATCGAGTTCCAAGACGCGCATGGCATGCGGGCAAACACCGAGTCTCCGTTACTGCGCTGTGTCGCCGCACCCTCAGCCCCTGGAACGACCCCTCGTTCCTGCAGGCCGGTGTGCCTCTGGGACAGGCGTCCAGTCATATTGTTGTCTCAACAGATGCTTCCAGCACAGGCTGGGGAGCCGTGTGTCGCGGGCATGCAGCTGCGGGCCTGTGGGTAGGTGCCCAGCTGCGTTGGCATATCAATCGCCTAGAGCTGTTGGCAGTGTTCCTTGCTCTCCGGCTTTTTTTTCCGGTGCTGGAGCAGCAACACGTGCTGGTCAGGACGGACAGTACGGCGGCAGCAGCGTATATCAACCATTTGGGGGGTATGCGCTCTCGCCGCATGTCTCAGCTCGCCCGCCGTCTGCTCCTCTGAAGTCACCCGCGGCTGTAGTCGCTGCGCGCCATTCACTTCCCAGGTATGCTCGACCGTGCAGCCGATGTGCTCTCACGGCAGCAGATTCACTCTGGAGAATGGAGACTCCACCCCGAGTCTGTCCAGCTGATTTGGGCGCGGTTCGGGGAGACCCAGATCGATCTGTTGCTTCCCCCGAGTACGCTCATTGCCAGTTGTTTTATTTCCTGACCGCTCTCTCGGCACGGATGCACTGGCCCACGGCTGGCCTCGGGGCATACGCAAGTATGCGTTTCCCCCAGTGAGCCTGATCGCGCAGTTACTGTGCAAGGTCAGGGAGGACGAGGAGCAGGTTCTGCTAGTTGCGCCCCTCTGGCCCAACCGGACCTGGATATCAGAGCTCTCCCTCCTCGCGACGGCCCTCCCATGGCAGATCCCTTGAGAGAGGACCTACTTTCTCAGGGACAAGGCACCGTCTGGCACCCTCGTCCCGATCTCTGGAACCTCCACGTGTGGTCCATAGACACGAGGAAGACTTAGGTAACCTGCCTCCTGCAGTGGTTGATACCATCACTCAGGCTAGAGCCCCCTCTACGAGGCGCGCCTACGCCCTGTAGTGGAGTCTATTCACTGAGTAGTGTGTCTCTCGCAGAGAAGACCCCCGATCTTGCCAGATCAGTGTTGTGCTCTCTTTCCTTCAAGAGAAGCTGGACAGTAGGCTGTCGCCCTCCACTCTCAAGGTTTACGTTGCCGCCATCTCCGCTCACCATGACGCGGTGGCTGGTGGCACCGTGGGAAAGCATAACCTCATCATCCGGTTCCTCAGAGGCGCTAGGCGAATTAATCCAACTCGCCCCCCTCTCACGCCCTCTTGGGATCTCGCCCTCGTTCTCACGAGCCTGCGATTTGATCCCTTCGAGCCACTCGATACAGTATCTTTAAGATTTCTGTCCCTGAAGACAGCTCTGCTGGTCGCGTTGGCCTCCATTAAGAGGGTCGGGGACCTGGAGGCATTTTCGGTCAGTGACTCGTGCCTGGAATTCGGGCCGAGATTTTCTCACGTTATCTTGAGACCCCGCCCGGGTTATGTGCCCAAAGTTCCTACCACTCCCTTTAGAGATCAGGTAGTAACCCTGCAAGCGCTGCCCCCGGAGGAGGCAGACCTAGCCCTGTCCTTCCTTTGTCCAGTTCGCGCTCTGCGCATTTATGTGGACCGGACTCAGAACTTTAGATCTTCTGAGCAGCTCTTTGTCTGTTATGGCGGACGGCAGCAGGGAAGTGCCGTGTCTAAACAACGTTTATCCCATTGGATTGTGGAGGCCATTTCATGTGCTTATTGAGCAGAGGTCAGCCGCGCCCCCTGGGAGTGCGTGCGCACTCCACTCGGAGCGTCGCATCCTCTTGGACATGTGCGTGCGGCGCTTCTTTAACAGACATTTGTAGAGCTGCGGGTTGGGTGACACCCAACACATTTGCAAGATTTTATAATCTGCGAGTGGAGCCGGTTTCCTCAAGGGTGTTAGGTACCTTTGGTGATTGAGGAAACAACTCGGTAGGTGTTGTACACGCTTGCGGTGCCTTTTTTCCCTAACTCGGAGAGATATGCACCCTCCTGTCTGTCAGTAAAGTTCCCCATTCGGTAAGCCCTGCAGATTCCTCCGAGGCCCCCAGCACTGACTCAGCGGAGGAGTCACTTGCTGGACCATTACGTTGTAGGTCTGCCCGCTGGTCAGCCCGCGTTTTGGGTATAGGTGCCTGCTATGGCCGATCCCCGCTGGTGATCCCCATATGCTTTTCCGCCACGGTTAAGTTCCCCCCCCTGGGTGGACCTGTGCTTTCCCTATCTGCTAACCACCTTCTTATGCGCACTCCCCTTTCTCAGGGTTAGTCCATATGTAATTCCATTTGTTCCCCTATTGGGTGCGGATGGTCTCCGCAGCGTCCTCCCTACTGGGATGGCACGCTTCCCAATGTACTGTCGTATATTCCTAGAATTATCTAGACGTTAGCGACTCCCAAAAAAATATACCTATTCCGTAAAACTTCTTTTGAAGTGGGATAAGTTAGAGCCAAGGGCACGTTGGAGGACCGCGCTTCTCATGATCTGGGTGCGTCACGCTTGCCTGACCGCTCTCTCATGGTTGGTGTTGGTAAGGTGCAGTCTTTATGGCGCTTTCAATGGGCTCCCATACGTGGATTTAGAACATCAAATCCACTTATAGTGCTGGAGTTCCCACCGAAGGGGAACGTTCGAGGTTACTAAAGTAACCCTTCGTTCCCCGAGGAGGGGAACGGAAGCACTATACTCCGTCGCCATAATGACTGTCCCTTAGCTGTTAAAAGTCTCTTCAGCTTAAAAAGGATAGCGTCTGCTGGCGCCAGGTGTGCTTATATACTCAGTTGATTGCATATGCTGCACACCTGCGCAGGCTTGCGCTGCCAATTCATTCTTAATTGGCCCGTTCAATACTCTTTCAGACGAGTAGCTTCTGAACCGAATCTCCCATACGTGGATTTAGAACATCAAATCCACTTATAGTGCTTCCGTTCCCCGAGAAGGGTTACTTTAGTAACCTCGAACGTTCTCTTTGAATCTCTGTGTGTGTGTATATATGTATGTATAGATGAGCAATTCCAAGCAAGCTTAGACCCGGAAGCTGCTTTGCATGACGTCACACTTAACAAGCAGATAGCATCATGGCGTAATAATCAAAGAACCATAACCTGGCTGCAGCAGGCACAATGATATTAAGCAGCACCTGAAAATAGTCCCCAGCTAGATAACTGTGCAATGTAATCGCATTGTAACTACAGAAGGGTCCAGCTTAAAATAGGAAAGTTATCAAAACTATTTTTCTTTTAAATAATGGACCATTTTCGAATTTTCAGGTTTCTCAGTAGTGGAAGACGTCATAGCTGGGTAAACTTAGAGCACAGTGAATGGGAGAGAACAATAATATATTTTTTTAAAACCCTATTTACAAAACCACACTATGGTGTTATCAAGACTTTCAGAAAAAGGAAAAAAAAATAGTGTGTGAGACTGATGACAGCAGTCAGAGGAGAGAATAACGTCAAAGTTACTCTCAGTCCCATAGATGCTGCACTGGAAACACATCGCATAAGCGGTAATTTTTTTGTAATTCAACGCAAAGATGATAAAATACATGCATAAATACATATAAATGTTCATATGTTTTTTTTAAATCTAAATATTAAATAATTTAAATGATTTAAGTTTATGATGACCATTAAACGCATCAGTTTTGTGAAAAGGGTCCATGTTCTAAACTGACTCAATGATTTAAGCCAAACTAAGCTTAAATGTGCTTCTTTCAAACTGAGAAGTCATCTGATTGGATTTAAAAAAACTCAATTGTTTAACTCTAGGTGACTTGTAAAATGAGCCTATTTCCCAAGACAAAAAAGTGGAGTGTTACTTTAATAGCTCTTCTCCTAAACTGTTTGATTTTGTGTATTAACTGTCTCAACAGGGTGCAGGCGACAGCTTTATTGGGGCTCTGGCTTTTTACATGGCTCATTATCCAGCAATGCCAATGGAAGAGATGGCCAGAAGAGCAAACTTTGTCACAGCGGTGTCTGTACAAACTGTCGGCACTCAAACATCTTTTCCATTTCGGAAGGATCTGCCAACTGAACTATTCTGAAGGTGACCCCGAGGTTCTTGGCTTTTAAAAAGACATAACACATCAATCTGTGCACATTGTCTACACAATTGTTTTTATAACCAACAATACTAGAGCTCTTCATGATGTAACTTCCGAGCATTATTCATTTTTGAATGAGCGTACCATTGTATGACCCAAAACAATTTTTTTTTTTTTTTTTTTAATAAATCAATGCATCAAAAACTCTCATCATTTTCATCATCTCTTTTTTACTTGATAACAATTATGTACATGTTCTCACATTTTTTTTTATTAAATACCTTTTGCAGGGTAATTATTCAAACATTTCCCTTTAGCCTAAAGGAATCTGTCATTGTGTAGGTGGTTGATTATTTACAGTAGGTCAAAACGTTGACTTGGTACAAAAAAGGAAGCAAAACAACCAAACAAATCCAACATAATGCGCTTCTTTCTAAATGGTCTTAACAGCACATTGTCCTGACAGGATATATATCTCCTTTATGGTATCATAACACCAGTGGTCCACACAGCACTTCTTCCTTCATAGTTGTTTCATTCATTACCATTCTGTAGCAGTTCTTTCATTCCACTTTAAAGGTTCCATAGTGTCTATCAGCTATCGGTGGGAGTCTCTTCCATTTTAGAGAGATCGTACCTTCTTCTTTTCAAAGAACAGGACATGTTTGTTCACTGTGGAGAGGAACAAAGAGACAAAAACAGTAACTAAAATAAGTAACAACACCATTAATAAATTAATTATTAAAACAAAAATAAAATTGTATTAAATGTAATTAAAATTAAATTAAATCTAATATGATCGATCGCAAGATCGGATTTGGCTCGGTACCAGCTGACCGATAACTGATCCATTAAAAATATGCAGTATGGAACCGATATCTGATCCAAGTATCAGGATCGGTGCATCCCTACTTTTAGCTTAGCATAAAACATTGTATTAGATTAGACCGTTAGCATGTAGCTCACAAAAATGGCTCCTGTTTAAAGATTGACAATTCTGTAGTTACATAGTGTGTGTGTGTGATTAAAAATGAAAAGTTTTTATTGTGGCAAGGCCATAGCCATAATAGCAACTCAATATATGCTAGGAACTATGTTCTCATTCTGGCGTAATAATCAGGGAACTTTACTGCCATTCCATGACTGCAGCAGGCTTGGATATATGTATGTTGCCATGACACAGGGTCAAACTTTGAAACTCTCTTTGGGCGCTTTTGAAGCTCTTAATATGCTCAGAATTATATGAAATTACACAAATATCAGAGATGTGGACTGTTCGACATTGGAAAAAACATTAGATATGGGTGCAGTCGGGGGATCTCTAGTGCCAGTGTTTGTCTTTATTTATTATACTTAGCCCTTCCCCTCATTTTGTATGTTCACGTGAAGGGGTCCCAATTCTCTTTAGCTTGATGACATAGGGCTAAGGGGCAGGGGTAGATAGCCCTTCGAACTGAGATTTTTCTGGACCACACTCAAAACCGAGGGGTAAGGGGTGAAAAAAGGGGAAAAACACCTAATAAATTAAGTGATTATTTGCTTAAAACAAGCTTAATCATTTACTAATGGGTTAAGAAAAACAATCTTAATAAGATAGATATAATCTCGAACAGAAGTTAAGCATCATTTCATTTTCCCATGAAATTTTTCTTGTCTGTTCTTGATTTAAGATTTTCTACATATTTAGACTGGAAAGAAAGAAAGAAAGAAAGAAAGAAAGAAAGAATGAATAAAAACTTGAGTCTTTAGTTTTGCAAAGTAACTCTACCACCTCTGCTTTATTACTGTTATTACTCCTATTGCTAGTGGGTTTAAAATATTCTGGAACCTGGAGTCATTTTTTTTAGGTGACCATGTTTCCTTGGCAACGCGTCATGTTTGTCATGTGACACACCGCAGCCACAATAGCGCTGTATGACAGATGTATCCCTTTTAATTAGTTTTTTTCCATTTTAATTCAACACATTCACACGTTTGCTAATCATGTTATCAACTACCTGATATTCCAATTCACATGATCGTGTAAGTGATGGTGATCTATAACATGAGATGGGCATTGCCATGTTTACTTGCGGCCGCGCGTTTGCCTCAAAAGTAGAACATGCAGGATTCAGCATGTAAATTCTTAAGTTCCTCCAAAAACACATGCAAGTAAGTGGCTGGTGATCTTAGAGAAGAATAAATTCAACTTAGAGTTCCTTTCACTATGTGTAATGTGTATCTGATATGAATAAAACATATTGGCAAATTATATTTGAATAGATTTTTAGACTTCCCTGTGTGTTTTGCAAACACAATGTTTTGTTTTACTAGTACTTGTGTGTATTTGCATGTCTAAAAGTTAAACTAAGCATTAGGCGGTTAAAACGCTGCATAATTGTGATGATATGACACGTCTTTCTCTGACTCAGCGCCAGCCAATGCACCAAATCTCAGTTTGATTCTTTTCAGTAGCTACTCTGAAGGGTAAACGAGCTAACGCTAACTTGTCACGCTGGATAACAAGTAAAACACCAGCACCAGGGACTTAACGATCCTCACTTCAAAACGATACAAAAGTATGATTCTGTAGTGATTTACCAGAACTGAAGTGTTGATTTAATAATCAAACGTCCCCGTGTCACGCGACACAACGAATGGATTATAAAATTTGTTGCCAATGCTTCTAGTAATCGATTTTTATCAATTTAATCGATTCGTTGTTGCAGCCTTAAACTCCTTCACAGCAGTCCCACAACATTCTGTAACACGATGACACTCAAATCCCCCATCAGAAAAGTCTAGTGGCTGGGAATGAGCGTTTTAATGTTAACAACTATAATGTTAATGTTGTTTTTCATGCGTTTACATAAATGAATATGGCCACTATGTAAATGCACACTTTAGTTTATGATCTTATGCTTTCAGTGATTTCCTGAAACAAATACTTAAACATAACACAACTGGAACAACTACAGCAGTCGTGAGAGTCCATCTCATACAAAACAGAGTACAAAAGAGAATTGAGATAAGCCTTAATGTAAAACACATAAGCAGCTTTAAGGAATATAAAACTTCCTTAAAGATTTGGGAATTGTGTTGAAGTTTTAAGGCATGTGATTGGATGATAATAAAAAATGCCTTCATGCGGACAGTTTATGGCATCAGGACCAAAGCCCATGTTAATCAAGAAAGTTGATAGTCAGTAGTCAGTACTGTGACCATGGCTGTTTTTGCTTCTATAGTAACTGTTGCCTGGGATTTTTGCTAATAATTTAATCTTTATAATTACTAATAAAAGTGATTTTTATACAAAATCATACAGTGATGTATATGTATTCAAACTAAAAGTTCTAAAAGTGAAAGCATCACCACCATGAGCTCAAGGATTCAGTTCTTGAGCTCTCAATCTGAAGATGATTTTAAATATGAAAAGCGAATGTTCATCATTGTCAATATACAGTAATAAAGAATAAAGAAAAATAATATATATAAAAGAAATTGTGTTAGGCATCTGGTGAGGTTTTTTTTTTTAAACAAAGAACCACATTTTTGGAGTTTAATGATTGAACTAGTTTTGATTAGCCATTGGACTACTTTTGTTGTGAAAACCTGGCAACTCTGACCAGTTGTGTCTACATTGGGGGGCCAAATGGGGCTAAAATGAAACAGGTCACCCCACTGCACAACATATTTAACTTAAATATTTACATAATTAAACATGTTGCTCATTGATCCCCATTGGCAGAAATATATGAACGACTTTAAATCATTTTCATCAGTCCTGATAAATAATGCCTCCTCCCCTTGAAATTTGAGCGTTTTACATTCAGAGATGTTGTTTATGTTCACATAGCAACATTAAACATCAATTAAAGTTTAAAGCATAATAATAGTGGACCACCTCTTTAACATTATTCAAACCGTAATGGAAAAAAGTCATGATCTTATAGTGAACTGAGGTAACAGTGACATGTTTTGCATTTGCAAAAAAAAAAAAAAAAGTGAAATAAAATATAAACAAGATGAAAACGTTTAGTTAGGTTTTTACGCAAAGATTAATGAATAAGGCACCGATTCACATGGAAATCAACAATAAAGAAAATTAAATTATAAACTAATTCTGACTGTCTCACCTATGGGGTCATTCTTCCGCAAAACCAGTTTTTCTCTCAGTCGTCCTCTTTTGGTGTTAAAAGAATAACCGGTGCCAGCAGCACTCACCATTTGAACCAGCAATGTCCTAAAACACAAGAATTAGACTCTTAAATGTACCGGTCTTTAAATGACACATTTACATTTTAATACATTTACATTTGACTGATACATTTAAAAATTCTCAAATGTATCATTCATTAAACATTAGACAAAGCAGCATCTCAGAGCTAACTGCATTTAACCATTACCAGAGTTTTCAAGTTGACTATTGTAGTTCTCAACAACAATTGAGCTAAAGTTGGTTTTATATTCGCACTTTTGTTCATTATTCTGACACTACTTTGAATATTGGGTCTGAAATCGCACACAAGTCTGGCTTGAAAACAAAATGAGTACTATTTAACGGTGAATTCCTAACTGACTATGATTTCCCCATTTAGAATTTGCAACGAATACTTTTCTGAAATTATATTATTAAGGAGAAAGTCTAAACGTGAGATTATAAAACCAACGTTACCTCTATTCAATAACAGAACATGTAATATTGCCCTTGAAATGTTTTATCCAATGCAAAATTGTATTTATTACTACTAGGGGTGTAACAATACACCAAAGGCACGATTCGGTTCAGTTCACAGTTTGAGCCACGGTTTGGTTTCTGTTTGCTGTGGGGTTAGGGTTGATGTCATGTTAACAGCAATGCTAGGGAACAATAGATTCACTTAATAACAAGTAGGGCTGCTCGATTTTTCGGAAAAATCATAATCACGATTATTTTGGTCATAATTGTAATCACGATTATTCCAAACGATTATTAGTTGAAGTCAAAATTATTAGCACTCCTGAGAGTTTTTTTTTTAAATAAATATTTTTCCCAAACGATTTTTAACAGAGCAAGGAATTTTAACAGTATTTCATCTAATATTTTTCTTCTGGAGAAAGGCTTATTTGTGTTGTTTTGGCTAGAATAAAAGCAGGTTTAAATATTTTGAAACCTCTTTTAAGGTCAATATTATTAGCCCCTTTAGGCAATATATATTTTTGATTGTCTGCAGACGAAACTACTATTATATAATGACTTGCCTAATTACCCTAATCAAGCTTTTGAATCACATTTTCAATTTGAATGTTTGTATTTAAAAAAATATTGTCTAAAATATTATGAGCTGTCATCATAGCAAAGATAAAATTAATCGGTTATTAGAAATGAATGATGTGCACGCTTTCGGTTTCATTTTCACTGCTAAGTGCTGTTCATACTTCGCGCGGCTCTCAAACGATCACTCTGTGCCACAAACTGAATATTATTTACAACTTTATAACCTGTTACTCACAGCATATGCAGGTTCTGTTCTCTAAAGTAGACGCGCGCGCATCTATCATTAGGTAGGGCATACACCCGCACAGTCAGCAGCTCACGTCACGTGTGTTTTTACGGCCGCGAATACAGCATAATATTAAGACAAAAATTACACTTTTAGGTGAATTACACCTTATAAATACAGTGTGTGACTCTTTTAACATCATTTGGAGGTGTCAATGTCACTGAGCAACGTATGTGAAACAATGAAAGACTCGTGCAGCAACCTTTGCTTCTCCCCTAAACTTGAAAATATGATTGGCACATTCGTAGAAATGCTGGATTAAGATCGTCTAGGGGTTGAATCGAGATTGCGATCTTTTAACGAATAATTGGGCAGCTCTATGATACAAAATGTAAAAAAACATGAGGGAATACTCACTTGGATTTGCTCTTGGCAACTAGATTGGGTAAGAAAAGGAGACAACAAACAAAAGTTATTAGCATTAAGAATGAACAGTGTGATAAATTGTAACACATAACATTGAGGTAAAGTTGGTTTTATATTTGCACATTTGTTTACTGACAACTTGTGACATGATCCCTAAACTGTTTACCATGGTACTTTGAATATTCGATCCGAAGTCACATGTAAGTGTTGGGGAAAGTTACTTTTGCAGTTACAATATTGAGTTACTCATCAAAAAAGTAACTAGTTTTGTTACATTTTTTTTTAGTAAGTAATGCGTTTTGTTACATTTGAGTTAATTTTACAAATCTTTTTATTACCTGGCTGTATTCTGTTCAGCAATTAAAGGCTCGTACACACCAAGGTGCTTTTCATTTGCGTTTGACATCAGTGTGTTTCAAGGTGCTTTTCCGCATTCAAACCCAAGCGATTTTTACTGGAGTCGAGCAGAAGAGTATGCAAAATCACTCCTTGACGTTGATGGCGCTTAATGAAAAACAGAAAGACCCTGGTGCACAGGGTGGCGCTACACAAATTAACGCTTCTGACACACACTTGTAACACAGAAGAAAAAAAAAGAAGAAGAGAGAAAGATTACACACTTGTTGTTGTTAAATTTACTGGCAATTCGGACGAGCATGGATGGTTAAAGTAGCAGCTCCAGCTCTAGCGATGGAGAAATGATTATTGTTGACCAGTGCAATAAGCAGCTTAAACATTCATATCGCCTCTGGGCATCTTCTTCAATGTGTGCTCACATTCACAGTTTTGCACTTGAGCACCTCCAATTGCTGTTTACTGTAACTTCAGCAGCTCCGTGCACGTGAACAAATATACCAATCTGGGGTGAGTTTCCAAAACAACGGCTAAACTATCATGGGAAAAGAACGATGTAGTGATGAGTGTTTACCAAAACCAGTAGTTTCTCTGTCACAGATCCATTGTTTGAACCACGTTAGTTAAAACGCAAAACGCCCATAATGATGGTCTAAATGGGGTGGTAACAACTTCTTTAGAGAAGAACCCCATGATGTATTTGTGCAAATTGTATTGTTTTACATGCAGACAGGTTTTTAAAAAATCCAATATTAGTTTTAGTTAAAACATGCATGTTTCCTTTACAAATATTATTAAGAAAATTACATTTTTTTTTTCTAAAACATACAATATTTTTCAAAAGCTAACACGTATTCTATTAACATATTTAAATCATTTAAATAAATAATTAATGAGGCTATTTATTAGGAAATTAAATTTAATATTTATTATTTATTAAGAAATGAAAAAAAATCCTATTTATTAATAATAATAATAATAATGATGATGATGATGATGATGATGGTGATTATTATTATTAAGTAGGATATTGTTCATTTATTTTTTTTTAAAGTCTACTTTTACATTTTGACACATGCAAACCACTGCAGAAATGTTCTAACCAACAGGCCTGTGTCATATACAGTACAGATACTTAGTAAGATACTTAATAAATAACCTACTATAAAATAAAAGCATTGTACGTATACGTATGGTGTGTTTTTTTGTTTTCACAAGCTTTGGAGACGTAACATAAATTCCGCTTTTAAATAATTGGTCACCTATAGCTTTCAACATGAGCCACAGCTGTGTTCAAAATGACATCAATGTTTTTAAAGTGCACCGCGAAGCGAGCACAATTGTAAACATGTAGATCGCTAAAACTGAACTGTAAAAGTACTTTGAAAGCAAATTACACATAAGAGTGATGATTTTAATGTTTTTTTTTTATACAAGTCTAAGTTTAAATGTTAGAATGTTCTAAATAAATAGGGCATAAGGGGGATAACTGGGAATAGAACACAGACAGGAACTATGTTTCTAACTACAGCTCCAGGGGTGTAGTCGTAAGCATACAAGTTTGCGACGCAGCTTGCGTCTGTTCGTTGGAACGATGGATTTGGAAACGTCAAATCTTCAAACTATGTTTGTAATGACACAACTTGCGCCTTTAGAAACCATAGTTTTCGGAAATGCGCCCCTGATTGGTGGAAAAGGTTTAGATGCAGCGCGTGAAAACAAAAAAAAAATGAGCACGATCACATTGGTGCCCATTATTTTGTCACAAGGCGTTAAACGTTGATGGATCACATTGGTGCCCATTATTTAGTGACAAGGCGTTAAACGTTGATGGAAAAAGTGAGCAAAAAAGCGTCCTGGTGTGACCAAGCCTTAACAATGCAATGTTTAACCTACACCAGGGATCACTAAACTTGTTCCTGGAGGTCCGGTGTCCTGCAGATTTTATCTCCAACCCTAATCAAACACACCTGAACAAGCTAATCAAGATCTTACTAGGTATACTTGAAACAACAAGGCAGGTGTGTTGAGGCAAGTTGGAGCTAAACTCTGCAGGACACCGGCCCTCCAGGAACAAGATTGGTGACCCCTGACCTACACCTTTATTTACCTTTAAAAACACATAAGAATAGAATTTTAAGATAATGTTATCGGAGAGCTTCTTAACCCTAGAACTATAAATGCCATATATAAAGATAAATGAAAGCTTAAAGCTGATACTTTTGTACTATTTGTATTACGTAAAATCACTGTCCAGTGTCCAGAGACTATATAATCCCCTTCTCTTTTTTCGACTGCGTGATTCATTGTGACTACTTTAGTTTTAATTTAGCAATTTAAAAGATAATTAAACTAAAAAAGTAACTTACATTACATTTTCAAAAAAGTAACTCAAATATTATTATTTATTTTTAAAAGTAATGCATTACTCCTTACGTTACTTAAAGTGATATTATTAATATTTTAGTAATATTATTATTATAATTGTTAACTCGCGTTGACTTGTAATGCGTTACCCCCAACACACAGTATAACTTCAAAACAACATTGGTACTATTTATTTGACTGGGAACATTGTAACTGATAGTCATTTCCTGCAAATATGATTTTATCATTTAAAATTTGCAAAGAATACTGGTCTGAAATCATATTCAGGAGAAAGTCAGAATGTGTGAATATAAAACCAATTTTACCTCAGTATATGAGGTAAAATTGGAAATACATTCATACATTTTGACTTTCTCCTGAAAAACCAAGCTTAAACCAGCCCAAGCTGGTTGGCTGGTTTTACCTGGTCAACCAGCCTGGTTTTAGAGGGGTTTTGGCCATTTCGATGGTCAGGCTGGAAAATGAAGTCATGCTTTGAAGTCATACTTGCATGCTATTTCTGATTGAATATTCAAAGTAACATGGTAAACAATATTGGGACTTCTAAATGAAGGAATGTGCGAATATAAAACCAACTTTACCTCTATGGCTGGTCAAGCTGGTTTTAGCTGGCCATCTCCCAGCCTGACCAGCTAAGACCAGATTGGAAATGGCTGAAAACCAGCCTGGAAATGATTGAGGTAAAGTTGGTTTTATATTCGTACATTCGTTCAGGGACAGCTTTATACAGTGTTTACCATGGTACTTTGAATATTCGGACTGAAATCACGTGCAAGTATGACTTTAACAACATTAGCACTATATAATCAACTGTGAACAATGCTGTACTTTGATTTTTGTTTGCTGCTAATATGATTTTACTATTTAAAATTTCCAAATAATACTTTTCTGAGATTATATTATTAATGAGAGGCTAAATGTACGAATATAAAACCAACTTTACCTCTATCTGGAAATGGCCCAAACCCCTCTAAAACTGGTAGACCAGCTAAAAACAGCCAACCATTCTAGTCTGGTTTGAGATGGATTTTTCAGCAGGGAGTCGTTTGTGTGTGAGTGTTTGTTTATAAAGAGTTAGGTTAATCACCAAATAACATCTAAAACAAATATTCCAACACAGCATTTAAGAGTAACTGTCAGACCCGGATATATATTCGATTATACGTGAAAATAATGGCTAGTTACAGTTAGCATTGGCTTCGCTATTCAATGTAACGTTAGCTTCTCTGTTTTAAAGTCAACATAACTGATCACGATTACTCTGTCAAGCAGGGCTTGCAGATACTGCGTGATTATAGGTGTACTCACGGTTCACAGTAGTAAGAAACATTGTTATTCCTCTTTAACAGATCGCAAATAACAGGTCTGAAATGTCACATTGAGCTCCTGTCGCTTGAGGCTTCCGGGAACACCACAGTACTTCCGGTGTCATTGTACGTCATTGCCGAATCATGAGTTTTTTTTTGTTTTTGTTTTTTATTTGCCTTTCAAAAACAACAATTTAGGCCAAACTCAGTCCAAACATAATCTTACACAAACTGACTGAGACATGTCAGATATACAATGAATCAAGTACAAAACCAAACAAAAATAAATAAAAAACAATGTTCGAAATATCTTAATAAAACGAAACAAAAACAAATAAATAACACCATACCATGCAGACATCTAACAGAAACTCTGTAAGGGGTTAAATAAAACCATATTCAAGAAATAAATCATATAATCTTTTAGCCTTTTTAGCGCATTTTTAAAGCTTCTACATAGGTGGCAAACTCCTTTTTAAACACAATCAATTGAGGAGCTGTTTTCATAATTTTACATTTGTGGATGAAGAATTTAAGTAAAATGAGTAAACAATTTGCAGTAAAGTCCTCATCTTTGCTGTCCAAATGCACACCAAATTTCACAATGTCCCAATAAATAGAAGGAAACCTTGAAATGTATTGTTTTAACCAGACTCATTTGACCAAAAAGGATTAACCAAATTACAATGAAGAAATAGATGTTCAACAGTTTCAATATCACTATTGCAAAATTGACAAACATTACAATTCACATTAAATCTCTTTCTCAGAAACTCCTTTGCAGGGTAAATATCATACATAATTTTTAAATGTACTTCTTTGTATTTTGGAGGAAGAGGAAATATCAAATATTTGCATCTAATTTTTTAAACTAAATTCTTATTAAAATGTTGGAAAATATAATTTCTTTTAATAGGACCAGGATAGCATTCCTGTATAAGACATTTTCTAATAAATATATTTGTACATTTCTTGTCCATAAAATTTAACTTACCAATTTTAATGTCCCGAATTTTTGGTGTGACTGTGGAATAGACTAGTATCTCTTTTAACATATTAATTAATGGTAAGGGAATACTTCTAATTACTTTCAAATAATCTTTTTTAACACAATTAAAATTAAATATATTACCAAGTTCATTGCAACTGAAAAAACAACCATTCTTATCCAAAATATGCAGTACTGACCAAATACCATTTTGTGACCATTCCTCCAAAAAAAAAGATTTACGTTGCGTTAATATGCAGCGATTGTTCCATAAAGACACATTATGAGGACTGAAGTTATGTTTGTACAACATTTTCCAATACAACAAAACCTGCTTATGAAAATTGGAAAGTTTCAGAGGAATTTTAGATAATTCAAAGTCACATTGTAAAAAAAACTTTATACCTCCTAGTTTTTTAAACAAATAAGATGGGATTACAAACCAATAAGAATCCTCATTTTTCATAAATGTTTGCAGCCATTTAAGTTTAAGTACTCCGTTCATAATATCAAAATCTATAACCTTTAATCCACCTTCACTATATTCCCTAATTATGTCATCATTCCTAATATAATGATACTTTTTTCTCCAAATGAAGTCATAATTAATTTTATTTATTTCTTTTAACTTTTTTGATGAAATTGATAATGAAAAGCATGGATAATTTAATCTGGAAATACTTTCAATTTTTGTTAGTAATATTCTAAAATTAATACCTGCAATATTTTCATTTTTAACAAGAATTGCTAATAGTTCTGCAACCAAAATAAATAATAGAGGAGAGCTTCCACATCCTTGTCTTATTCCTCTGTTCACCTGAAAACGAGGAGTTGTTTTTTTGTTAATAGCAACAGAACTATTTATGTCCTTGTAAAGCATTTTAATTATATTTATAAAATTTGATCCAAAACCAAAAAACTTTAGGGTCTGAAAAAGAAACTGGTGTTCTACTTTATCAAATGCTTTTAAAAAATCCAGAAATAAAATAAAACTCTCTTCTTTAATAAAATTATTGTATTCTAGCATGTCCAGAACAAGCCTTATATTGTTATGAATAGATCTGCCTTTTAAAAATCCTGATTGAGTTTCGCTAGTTATTTGAGGTAGACCAATCTTTAATCTAGCAGCAATCACCCCTGAGAATATTTTGTAATCTGTATTAAGAAGCGTGATGGGTCGAAGATTATCTAATATTCTTTTATCCTTTCCAGGCTTTGGTATCAGAATAATGAGTCCCTGCTTCATAGTAGGCATTAGATTGTTATTTTTTATGCACTCTTGTAATGCTTCATATAAAAATACTTTGAGCTCTTCCCAAAAAAACTTGTAAAAATTTGAAGTTAGCCCATCTGGTCCAGGCGATTTATTAGTTTTCATTTTTTTTAGGACAGATCTAATTCATAAATGGAGAGATGTGAATCACAAAGGTCTTTGAATGAATCTTCAATTTTGGGGATACATTTTTTTATTTTTTTAAAAAACAATTCAGCGTCATCCTTGGAGTAAGATGACGTGAATAAGTTTGAGTAAAACTGTAAAACTTCTTTTGCCATTATATTTTCATCTGAACTTTCTACTTGATTAATTAACAAACTACTCATAGCATTTCTTTCTTGGCGTCTTTTTTCAAGATTACAAAAATATGAATTATTTTTTTCTCCAGCCTCCATCCAATTTGCTCTTGATCTTACATATGCACCCTTTGCCTTTCCAATATAAACTTCGTCTAATGAAGATTGTAAATGAATAAGTTTTTCTTTATCTACCTGTTTTAAAGTATGTTTACTGCAACACTCATTTATCTCATGTAATAATTTAATTTCTTTTTCTAATCTAATTTGTTTCAATTGTTTTCCATATATTATAGAGTATTCTCTAATTTTGAATTTTAAAAACTCCCATTTACAGCCGCTAGACATACTTTTGCTACCAATATCCTTTATAATCTTCTTTATCTGTTCACAATATTTTTCTTGAGATAAAAGCTCTGAATTAAATTTCCAATATCCTTTTGAGTAACTAGAATCAATATTTTGCTTTAAATTTAGCTCAATTACACAGTGATCGGTTAACGGTGCACTAGAGATAGAACAATTATACACGTATTTAAAAACAGTGTCCGTGCCGAGCCAGTAATCAATTCTTTATCTAGCCTTTGCGTTCGGTTTGACCCAAGTAAACTGTCTAATTCCAGGATTCCGCTTTCTCCAGATATCAATTAAATTATTTTGAACACAAAAATTATTAATTATGTTATTAACATGAGCTAACTTGTGCTTAGAGGGCTCCCTATCTAGCCATTCGTCTGGCGTTAAATTAAAATCCCCTCCAATCAAAATAAATTCTGTGGGATAGGTGATTTTTAATTCACTAATAATATCAGTAATTAAGCAGAGTAAATCATTATTTTGGCTGCGGTTGTTATACCCGTACACATTTATCAAAATAAGGAAGTGTTTATCTAAATTAAGAACAATTACTAACCAATGTCCATCATCATCAGCTTTGTGAAAAATTATCTTACCGGGACATTTCTGCAAACAAATAGCAACTCCTCCGGAATGATTTGTGCCGTGACTAAAAAAAATATCATCATGCCATTGATTACGCCAAAACGGAACATCCACAGCTTCTGAATGAGTTTCTTGAAGAAAGATTATATTTGAATTTTGGCTCTTGCAAAAAAGAAAAATACCTTTCCTTTTAATTGAATCTTTTAGACCCCTACAGTTTAAAGATGAAAAAGAGAGATTAGATAATAACGATAACATTAGAACAACTGGAACAACAAAAAAAAAAAGACCTTCTAAATAGTTTTTAAACGTGTGGAATTAAATTGTAGGAAAAACCCAAGTACAAAAAAGTTGTACAAACTGTAAAATGTCCCACATCATTTGTCTATCATCTTACTTAACCAATGATGCGGTCCATATACCCCTTAAATTTTCTGAAATACGTTTTCCATTTATGTAAGCAAAAGGACCTCGAAATCCAGCTGCCTTCCCCTCTTTTCTCGCTTGCTCAATCTTCGGCCATAGCGCTCTTCTTGCCTCTCTGTCCTCTTTCGTCAAATCTTCCGCAAATCTAATCCCCGCAACCTTGCACATCGTTGAGTTTTTCGTTCTCTTCCAAATTTCCTGTCTCATTCCTCTTCGCGCGAAGAGGATGATCACTTTTCTGGCCCTGTCAGCCTCCTTTCTCCCCACTCGGTGCACCACGTCCACCGCTTCGCTCATGCTGGACGAAAATTCAGGTGCAATCTTTATTAGAAGCTGAACCACATCTTCTCGAATGGATTCTCCTGGCGTTTCTTTCATACCTTTGATGCGAAGGCTCCATCTTCTCTTGTATCTTTCCTGTTCTAGAACTCGATTCTTCAAGCTGTTGTTTTCTCTTGTGAGAATCTCCACCTGCTTTTCTAACGTGTTTACTTTTCCTTTACACTCCTTAACTTCTTCTGCATTTAACTGTACTGCCTTTGCGACACTTGCGATCATGGCGCTATGTTGTTGTAATTGTGTGCTAATGTCTTCGTGCTGCTCATCCACTTTAACACCGAGAGCTTTTATTGCTTCTAAAATAGCGACATTCGACACAACAGCATCAGATGAGTTTGGATCCATTTCCAACGTTTTTTTCGCCTTTTTTCCACCCTGAGGCTTTAACGGGGTGGCAGGGTCAGAGTCCGTGCCCCGTTCTCTTTTACCGGAAAGCTCGGTGTCCATCGAGTAACCGTGTTCCTCCATACTATCTAATTAGACGGATGCTAAAGGGAAATCATATACGACCTTGAGGCAAACAACTTCGGGTATAACGACTCTAGACTTCAAAACTAACAAGATGAAAATATTTAAACCATTTAGGACTAAACTTGGGACATATATACCACACAAATGAAAAAGGTTGACTGCTCAGTCCGCCATCTTGCCGGAACTCCGAATCATGAGTTGAAACGGAGTTATGGGCAGGGGATATTTTAAGAGTTTTCTAAATATTAATCAATTCCCTGTTCGCTATATGCAATTTAAGTAACTTATAAAGGCTATACCTAGTGGATTTCTATGTCTGTTAAAAGCAGCTCTTAGTCATGTGGCAGATTAACTTACAAACAGTCACAGCTATGCCTAGGAGGACAATCTATTCTTTG